AAAAAAAAAAAAAAAAATTAAAGCGGCTACGTTACATTCCCTCCTAGGAGTATCTTTGATCCGTGCCACTTGCTAAATAGGTACAACATGGAACAGCCTGCCGTACAATTATTGAAGCTGCTTGCCATGTCTCACCTTAGATTTTAATATATTAATAATATTTTTTTTTTACCAATATGCAATAATAATTCTTATTAATGAGAATAGAGATGTATGTGTTGAAAAAATGATAAAGAGTGAACATTAAAATACGATATATATTTATTAGCTAAATGAGAGTAATAAATAAAAAATATGTACAAAATATCTCAAACGATATTTATTTTGTTTTAACAGTCGATAATTTTAAAATGACATTTAAAAAGAATATGAGATAATATAATTTATCTACAGTAAACCTTTAGTCATACTCATAAATCACTAGTACACTTTTTCTATAGAAACTCCGAGCCCAAGCTCTTCATGCAATATCAAATTTCGATCAAATTTGCAAAGCAAAAATGCCTCGAGAGTTTCCATGCCTTTGCCAATAACTGTATTTAATTAATTGGAGATTGTGTAGAAAAAATATGAGATAATATTTATTTTGATTTTTTTAAGACAAAGATGAATATTTTTATAGATACATATAAAATAGTACAACACCCGTGTATTCACGGGTGTTTGTTAAAAAAATATTATTAAATTTTAAAATTAATAAGAAAATTTATTTTAAATTTTATTTACTTTTTCACAAAAAAATATATAGTATTATATATTTTAGAATGACATTTGTTACTTTTGCGACTCACATGTGTTTTATTATAGTAATTTTTATAACTTATATCATATACCTACTTAAAATATAAATATATTAATTGATAAATATTTTTTTCTAATTAATATTAAAAATTAATCTTACTAGTATTTGATCATGTGCATTTTCACAGATATAAACACGTTTTTGTTTGTATTTATGAATTAAACATGTACTTCTATCATATAAAAATTATTATTTATTCTTAAGTTATTTTTATCATTCAAAATTAATTAAGATTTTATTTTATTTTAACCATGCAACGTTTAAATTAGTAACATGAATAAAATAATTTATATATTTGTGGCATATATTAAGAAAATTAACATAAATAAAAAAAGTTATTGGTGTTTCAATTTTTTTTTTTTTTTTGTAAAAAAAATGTGTCAATCATATTTTTCTTCCAACAATGCAACTAAATATAGGAGTTACAGCTCTGAATGTGTCAATCAACTTTAAGTTCCAACATTAGCCATTACACATTTGAATATTTTGCTACCAAATTTATAATTAATTTAGTAACTGGTCCAAAAAATAAATAATAAAAATATATATATTAAGGTATAACGGCTTTAGCAGATTAGTAAATAATTAATTAAAAAAAAATGTAACTCCTTTTGGAAGAAAATGCAAATAGGTTTTATTAAATGTTTTATTAAATACATCAGCTAGTAATTATATATATAGATTATTGTATAAAGAGATGATTAATTTGATATGTTATATATGTAAAACTGATAAAAAAATACAAAAGTTATTAACTTTTAAATACATTTACAATTCAATAATTATAATAGGGAATGATATTAAAATACAATTAATACATGTAACATGACCATAAATAATCAACATATTTATGGATAATCCGGACCTAATTATTTTTGGAAATAAATTAAAATATACCCAAGCCAAATAACAAACCATGTAATTTTGCTATAGGATATTGAAAAATGCGAATCTGCCACTTAGGCTCAACACGTTTTGAATTAATATACAAAGGGTTACCAAAATCAATAATAATAATTAAAAAGAGACAGAAGAATTTGCAAATAAATCAAAGGAAGATACATTGATTAACAAACTCTTCAAATCAAAATCAAACCATAACATGCACACAAACACAATGAACCAACCTCAACTCAACAAAGAAGGAAAAAAAAAAAAAATAGGAACAATCAAATAAATGATTCAATCATCTTATTCAATCCAAATTATTTGCACTTCCTAAAATACCTACCTACATTAATTTTTTTATTTTTTCCATCTTTTTTTCTCAAAGAACCCCATAAACACACCACCTAATTAAACAACATCTCATCAATGAAACAAACTACAAATCAAGATAAGCAGACACAAAAAGTTAGCTAGCTAGCTAGTTAGTTAGCCACAGCAAGTTTTTCCCATCGATCGGTAGTCAACGAAATATAAGCCGAGGCCTTTTTGTCTATCCCAGGCTCGGCCACCCATCGGCCTCTGTCCTCGTCGCTCGGGTAAACCTTGTAGGCCTTCACGTACTCGTCCCGGGTCTCGTCTCTTGCCCGGGCCCGCGAGCCCCGACCCTTGAACATAGAGAAGAAAGAGAAGGAGGGTTTCTTCTGCTTATTGTTGCCTGCCATTGATTGTTATCCTTTGTGTTGTGATATATGTATGTGTACTTTGTGTTGTTTTTTTGCAGTAGTGGTGGGAGGTTAGGTATTGGATATATATAGAGGGTTGTGGGGTTTGAATCCAAGGGTGGAGAATCTAGAGAGATCAAGGGCCGTTGATCTGATTGATGGCTTTGATCCAATATGGTGAAGTTACATAATGTTGGGTTGCTAGTAAAAACTAAGGCAAAACAACATGGGCTTCCAGGTTTTTTGACCATAATAACATGCTTTAATGGTGGGGGAGTTCTCATTACTTATTCTTTTTTTTTTAAACTTTTTTTTTTTGGCTCCAATTATTGTCAATTGGGGTACTCTTATTTGTGTTGGCTTTTCATTTAAATGATTTCAAAAGTTTTTTTTTATGCAATTATTATTATTATTTTTTTTCGGTTTGGTACACGTGGCAGCTGAGTGGTATATCCAACTCAGCAAGCTGATCACATTGATCGGCTTTTCTTGGTGGAAGAACATATATACGATTCAATTCTTTTTTTTTTTTCTTTCAGTTATAGGGTATTTTGTAAAATCAATGCAACCGCCAGATTATCTGGCGATTTTGATGTTAGTTAGAGGACTAAAATCTCCGATTTAATTTTAGTTTATATTTATATTGTAGTGAAAAGTGTTATCCTAGTTTCTAGTTTCAATAGAATGATTTTTCAGATATTTTAGTAGTTTGCAATCTTATATTTTATTAATATATTTACTGTTTTAAAAAAAAAAAGGTAGCAACAAAAATAATGTAAAGCCTTTATGTAACCCTTTTGTTGCTTTATTGATTCTAAAGAATAAAATAAACCAGTTGTATAAACGTATGATTTTGCTAATGACAAAATTTCTAATAAGAAAAAATAAATTAGTGTTGTTAGGTAAATTGCGTGAAGCATTTTCGAGCACCTTTTACTTTTTTTTTTCGTACAGGGACCTTCCGGTTTCCGAATCCACATGGGAACCGACTAACCCGAAATCGAGCCGGGTAGGACCACAAGGGCAGCAAAGCTCTCCCTCAAGAGTTTTAACACTGCTGCATTCCCAGGGCTCGAACACGAGACCACTGGTTAAGCTGGAAGAGACCTAAGCTTTGAAATCCTTAATGAAGAAAGGCAATGACAGGTTAGTATATATTATATTAGGAGTATAAATAAATTAAGCTAATAATGTAACAATATAGAATAGAAGTAGGTAATTTATATAATGTTAATTGGACCTTCACTTTACATGAGGACCAATAATAGGCGTATCTTTGCAACCTTTACTTTGTTTTCACCAAGATTCTTCAAGCAAAGCCTATCCATAGTACAGTTCAAAATGGTATTTGAGCATATAATCAATTAGTCATATTTGGTTCTCATTGATTTTTTTTGTTAATTATAGTTAATTTAAAAAAAAAATGATATGATATCAGTTGTTAGCGGAATTTTAAGTTGTGAAAATAGCTATTTTCACCCTGTTTTAAAGTCCTGCTAAGTTTTTCACACCGCCCAATAAAAAACTAAGTTTTTCACCCCCATAAAGTGCGAAAGGCATTGTGCGATGAATATGCGACAATTACGCGATGACATTATGCGAAAGTTAAAAGTGCGAAGGCATTCGCATATCCCTTGCACTTTCTGGGGTGAAAAAAAAATTAAAGTGCGATGACATTGTGCGATGAAAATGCGACAGTTATGCAATTGATATGCGACAGTTATCCAGTCCATTCGCATAACCTTCACACTTTTTTTTTTTTTTCGAAACGGCAGATTTTATAAACTCGGGATAAACATAGTTCGGAAGGCCAAAGCCTATACAAAAGATACAAATGAGAAGAAACCACTGCTTCTTAAATAAAGAACCAGGATAGGTAAAGATCACGGCAAAGGCTAACGCTAAGAAACCGTGAGCCTCATCCTATCCCCCGCAACTCCACTCGAAAGAGCGAAAGTAGCTGATCAAAAATAG